GTTTCCGCATATAAAAGCTATCTTCAAGTTTTGTACACCAAAAAAGATAAAATATACGAACTTCTTACCGACAAAGAGAGCAATTAAATGTTAGTATCAAAATAAGTAGTAAAATTAAAATGTTCCTGAGCGGGTTCAATTACTCATTGGATAAAGGAACATAACGGGTACTCTAACTTACACCCCACAAACGTAAGGAAGTTTGAGATATCTTTGAGAAGCAAGAGATTGTTGTTGGATTTTTAGTGTAAAGCTACTCAATGGGTTATATGCGCTCTGTCCACTACAGGGAATCGAACATCGGATTTTAGCGTTGTAAATCCGGAAACTTACCGATGACCGAACTGGAAACAAGCAAATTTAAGGGATAAGGAAAATTGAACAGTGAAAGAGGTTACAAAAGACCGCTTGCTGGTTAGATAAACTTATCCGCCAAGTTAAAATTACGTTCCACTTCTTATAATTGGTATAACATTTTAAACAGCAAATGTTAAAAATACGTTCCACTTCTTATAATTGGTATAACATTTTAAACAGCAAAGTTAAAAATACGTTCCACTTCTTATAATTGGTATAACATTTTAAACAGCAAATGTTAAAGTTACGTTCCACTTCATATAAATGGTATAACATTTTAAACAGCAAAACAAAACATTAAACGATAAGTCGTCATAAATTGCTATAGAAAAAAACTGAAATCCCCCAATGTAAATAATACATGTGGGTTCTACTTCTTTGGAAACCTTTCATAATGACACAAAATATTGATCCCACTCTAAGTAGGTGCGTTGGTTTTACTTAAGCTAGTTTTTCTTATTTGACATATTTTAAACTTTATGTATATATGTAAACCGAAAAACTTTTAACCTTTCCATTCTTGGTGATTATCATTATCTACTATTTAAACTCAAAGTTATTTGTTAATATATTTTTCCATGATTTTTTTTTTCCTAGGACCACTTCCAATTGCAATTATTTTATAATCAAACCATTTTCAATTTCAGGTCGAACCTCTTTCTTAGTTCTGTTTTCTTTAACAGGGTCTGTTTCCAGTTTCTTTATATAATAGATCTGTTTACAGTAACTGTTTCATTCTTATTTGTAATATAATCTCTTTCAAGGGGATCACTTTTCGGAGCGTTAAAAGACAGCTTCTAAGGGTATTTAGATGTCCAAAATGGTTTCACTTCAATTATTTATGCTGCTGGGTTTGTTGTTGTTTTGTTTGTTTGTTTGTTTCCAAAAGTGTACATACGGTACTACTTTCTTTAGATTCACGCACCCTTAATAATTTTCCATTGCAATTACATGCACTATTTATTTTTACCCAGAGTGTGGGAAACCAGCCAAGTTTCTTACCCTGCTTTTATAAAATAAGAAACCTGGTACAGCTGATATTGGAACAGTCATGAATTAATCGACATGTATTGCTAACGCTGTAAAATTGACTAAATATTTATAGTTGAAATATTACTTGTTTATTATTTCATCAGCTAAACTCATAGAAAATTGATTTGATAATTCCTTTCTTTTTTGAGATTTAAAGATCTGCACGTAAAAGCAACTCAAGTGTGTTTGATTACTGTACATCAAATCAAGCGACATGTTTAGTACCAATATTTTTAGTTTAAAGCGAATTTCCAACCGTTCTGTAGTACAATTCCGCTACAGGTAAACTTATGGTTGGGAGTAAAAATGGCACAACCATTTCTGAGAAAGGTTGTCTATACCGCGAGGTTGCTAAACGATGTTGATCCAAAAGACAACATTTTGAAGAAGGGTCACTGCAATGTTCTCAGCGAAAACAGAAGTACTCACACAGTTTGCAGAACGTTCAGGACAGCAAAGGACTCTAAAACAACACACCAGATCAATTAGGAGCAACGCTCTCATCAGTAAATTGTACGCTCAAGTGAAAAAAAAAAAACGAGAATCCTTCAACCCAAAATACCATTTTAATAAAGCTGGGTTTTTCTCCTGATGACATTGAGTTTTCGAAGCTTTATAAGATTTCAGACAAACTTCGAGATCGACAACAATTTTCACGAGAAAAA